TTTTAAGAGTTGGTCTATGAAGGGGGTTAACAAAAGAGAGATGGGCGTGGGCAGCCTGCTCTCGAGATGACGAGGAAAAAGAAGAAATTGGATGTCAGGTGTGTAAAGGGCAGGGGTGCGACCCAAATGGCAGGCAGGGTAAAGACAGACAAGTCACACTGACATGCAGTCAGTGGGCCCGGATGCTACAGAGAGCGGGAGGGGAAGTCACAGAAGGGAAAGGACAAAAAAATGACGACAATGGCTCTTCTGTGATGATGGCTCAAGCACCAAACTAGGAGTATGTCCCTCTTCTGCGAGGTTGCTTTGATTTTTATCTTCTGGGGTCCAAGCCCCATTCGGGGTCAGCATCAGGGCTCTGGGAGCTGCCTTTCCTGTTCATTCACCCTGAGCACGTTTTATGGCCTCCTTGTTTCTCTTTCTCACCTCCTTCTGGTATACGCTGCTTTGCTGTGATTCACGTGTCCCCATGAGTGGCTATAAAGTCTTTCTGGTACAACTGGAGTGCACGTTTTAAAATAGTCCCCAAGGCAGACACATACCGAGGCAGAAATAACAGAGAAAGCAAGGTGGGGTGAGATAAGGGAATTCCAAGGAAGCCTTGAAAAACCAAATCATCCAGTTTAGGGGAAACACCATTCAGCACAGAAATATGTGGTACAGACAGCCTGTGTTCCATGCGTTAAAAAGGAATATGCCGATGTGGGTAGGAAGAGCTGTGAGGCTGCATGTGACATATGGCTAGGATACAAACAGGTTGGGTTTGGGACTTTTTAGACCTCTTAGCCGGGGGACGAGAGTCTGTGGAAGTGGGTTTACACACAAGGAAGGAAGCTATAAATGTGAACAGAGCAGGAGAAACACTGATTCTTGTCATCAGTCCACATGTGTCCACTTTCTCTCCAACCAAAAAGGAAACAGGGAAAAGTACAGCAGAATGTGACATGTGCCAAACAGGAGACGGTCAGCCGGGCAGGGATACTAACTACATCTAGGGACACAAGATAGGGCTGGAGGAATGAAGAGTGGACTTTAAAAATAGGGAATAAGAAGAGAGAACTTAAAATGCACCTCAGATCCATTTGTTAGTTGCCTGGAACAGGCAATATGCGCAGAAAATGAAATGAACCGGCAGAGCAGATAGGACGCGGGCAGCAGGAAAAAGAGAAATTGGGGAAAATAAAGTAAAATCTACTATTTATACCCGGATTAGAAGAAGTAGCCAAAATGAATTTCTTGAAAGCCAAGGCGTTTGGCAGTGGTTTTTAGAATCTATTCAAACAGCAGTTGGAGGGTAGGTGCTGCAGAATGCAAGATGGATATTCAGGGAGAGAAGCCTAGATTGTCTTACGAGACAAATTAAAGGTGTAAAAGAAACCCCTTGAGGGAAGGGGTATGCTCAAGGAGCCAAACTGGTGTCAAACTGGTGTCCCAGTGGCAGAGAGCAGAGCAAGTCTGGGAGTGAGGGGATCCATCGCTGCTGAGTTTGGGGGCTGCTGCCCGATCTTGGGTCGCCTGGGGTCTATGTACCATGGTGGCATCTCAGAGGAAGGGGAACGGAGAAGTGCCAGGAGGTGAGGGGTCCTTGTGGACAGAGATGGAGGACATCAGAGACGGAGGCCACCAGCATGGCTGAGAGTGAGCCCTGCCAGGCGGATGTGGGATCTGGGGTGGGGACAGAGCTGACTGCAGCCAACTCCAGGCTTGTTACCGGACATGCCAAAGGTGGGATGGATGACGCCTGCCCCCTCCCTGGAACCCTTCTTCTTCAAAACTCTATAAACCTTCAAGACAAATGACATAACTTTTCCCTGCAAGATTGAAAAACTAGTGTGTGGGGCCCAGAGCCGGGACTCCCAGAGCCAAATCAAAACACAGGCTGCTCTCTCCCATGTCAAAGACATCCTTCCTCAGGCCACGTGAGTCCTTGGTCACATTCCCCACAGCCTCCCTCTGCACCCCCGCATCCCCAGGGAGGAGGGACCACTCTCCCTGGTCAGCCTGACTCTCCTGTTGTGCAGGATCTGAGTACAGGGCTGATGCAGGTGAGAGAAACAGTCAGAGAAGGATGCCTGAGGACACTTCCAGAAAGCTGAACACAGCAGGCAAACTCACCCATGACCTCCTGTGCAGTGTTTTATACCACAGGTCAGCCTTTCCCGGCAAGCCTTTCTTCCTCTTCATCATGATCCCCCCTCCTCACTGATGAGTCCTTAATCTTCCTCCCTGGTTCCCTCCTCTCCCTCTGACCCCAGATATGTGGGTGATCCTTGGGTGCTGTCTGCAGAGCTCTCCCCTTCTCACGCACGGATTCCCTCGGGTACCAAAGAACCCACGGATGCTCAAGTCCCTTCCATAAAGTGGCATCAGACAATGGGCCCTCGGAACTGAAGGCTCCACATGCGTGGATAAGGGGAGGGACTGCATACCTTGGAGAGGAGGGAAGCGCACCGAGAAAGTGGGCAACGAGCAAGCAGAAAATAGACTAAATGGGTGGGAGGTTTGGAAGCGCTGGTTAGGGGTCAAAAAGTAAGAGCTGAAGCAGTAGTTTCTGATGCCAACATCCGTGTTCGTCTCATTTTTGTTCTAGTGATAATAATCAAAGTTAGCGTTTAAAGAGCATTTACGACACTCCAGGCACTGCACTGAAGGATTCACAAGCATGGACTTATAAATAAGTGAATCTGTGTTACAAACATTGGATACACTCTTAACTGCCCTGTTTGGCCGATGAGGCAGTTGAAAGTATTATTAAGAATATTTTACAGAGGTGGGCACAGAGGCTCAGAGGGAAGTCTCTCAGGCAAAGCTGGGCAGCTGGAAGTGGCAGATCTGGGACTCAGACCCAGGCCACTAACTGTGTGCTCCTGGGTTTCACGGTCCCCTGTAGATGGTTAGTTCATCCAGGGGAATGACTGTGTCTCTTCTGTCTTGGCAACTCCAGTACCTAGCCTGGTGCCCAGCACACAAGAATCGCCCTTTAAACATTAGCTTAGACTTGGATCTACTCCATGAAATGTGTTTGTTGAATGAATAAGGGAGTGACCTAAGGAACAAACTAACATACAATGTTCTTGCAGGCTCGCTCCTCCAGGATGGGGTCAGGGTTCCAGTGGCTGCGGGGTCTTTTGAGGATTTGTGAACAACCAGGAAATTCTGAATGGTGGTTTCTGTCTCCACCACGGAGTGGAGAATTGACGCACCACGTAGAACCAGGTCACAGTGTGGGGTTTTTTCACGCTTTGATGCTGAGAGAGCAGGGAAGAACCAAGAACCCAGCCAGTGGCGGGGGGTGGGGAGGGGCGGTGATTGGACACTAATGTGGAGGGAGGGCTCTGCTCAGGAAAAAAATTGAAAACACAACACGGACAATCTGAAGACAGGACACTGGGGAAACACATGCAGAGCTGAAGATGCGGATGGTCTGGCAAAGGGAGCCTGGGGCTGAGGCTGATGGGGCTTGCAGTGGGAGTACAGAGCTCAGAAAAAGCAGAGACATGGTGCAGACTGTCTCACCGGCAAGCAGCTGTAAGGGGTGGGGCCCTGGTGCCAGCTCTGGAAGCCCAGCACAGGAGGGATGGTCCTCTCCGCACAAGGATGCCCCAGAAGGGGCCCCGGCTGCTGGTGTACTGAGCCCAAGAGCTTGAGGACCCCGCTGACCATAACTGGGAGGTATGGGTGGGGAAGGGAAAATGAAGGGAACGGGAGGGGAGCAGACAGGCTACAGTCCCCACGAAGGAAGAGCATGGTGTCTTGTTAAAAGGCAGGAGGGAACAGCACAGACGATGTGACCTAGAGGACAGGCAATTAGGGACAACAGAAATGCCAGAGCTTTGACATGTGCTTGTGAGCTGGGGGAGAGGGAGTCACAGGGGGAAAACCCATCCCAGAGGAAAATAGGGTGAGACAGAAGAAGTGGAAACAATGAAAACTGGAGAGTGTGGAGTTTGTAAGACGCTGATACACGCTGCTCAGTGGAAAGGGCTGCTTTGGCTTTGGGGACAGGAGAACGGTGAACGCGGGTCATGTGTAAATACCACTCATACCCTGAAGAACCTGCGGAGAAGATACTTGCAGCTGAGAGGAAAGGATGCCGGTGTGGAATCTGAAAGACTGGAACTGAGCACCAGCTCAGCCCCTGGGCACGAGGACCAGCTACTGTCCTCTCACTGCATCGGGGTCCTCACCGGGCAAGCGTGGTGACGGCCCGTTCCCACGATGGCTGTGAGCACTGCATTAGGTCCCAGGGCGGCCACAACAAAGTACCACTAACTGGGGGGCTTAAAACAACAGAAATCGATCCTCACAGATCTGGAGCCCAGAAATCCAAAATCAAGGTGTCACAGAGCTGCGCTCCCTCCCAAGGCTCCTCTGTGCCCCTTTCAGCCTCTGGTGGCCCCAACTGGTCCTTGGGTTGTTCACGGCTGAAGCACTGTAATCCCCGCCCCGCCTTCATGTGCCCCCCTCACCCCGTCTCTGTGCGTCCTCTCTTCTTCTTGTAAGGACACCAGTCATTGGATTTAGGGACCACCCTAAACCAGGATGCTCCCATCTCGAGACCCATAACCAATCACATCTGCAAAGAACCTATTTCCAAATAAGGCCACATCCTGAGGTCCGTGGTGGCGGGGGCAGGGACTGTGGGGATAACACTCAACCCGTCACAGGGGCCAAACAGCAATGAAGCAAGATCACCAAGTAAATTCAAAGTATTTCCCACGCGCCTCTCCGGTCTCCTCGTCCCTAAAAGGCCACTCTCCCAACAGGGCCTCTTCATGCACCTCTAGTGACTGCCATGCCCACAGATAAAACCCAGCCCTCAGCTGGCACTGCAGGCTCCGGACACTCTTCCCGGTCTCTGTGGCTGGAGTTTTCTCCCTCTTCCGCACGCCCCCCGTCCTGTGTTCCCAGCCCACGAACTTCCCCTGAATCTTTACCACCCAGTTGAAACCCCTTCAGGGAACATTCTCAGATGACGCAAGGTGGAGGGAGCCACTCACCAGCATTGCTCTGCTGCTTCGTGTTTTTGATGTAGGCAGAGAACTTGGAGAAGATGTCGATGCCCGCTGTGTTGGACTCCCGGTGCTTCGCGGCCAGTCTGGGGTACCTGGAACGGAAGACCAGTGTTCTAGGGTCAGCGAGAACTTGGAGGTCCTTTAAGGAAGAGCCTGTTCCCATCCCAGGAAGCTACACTCCTGCTTCTAGCTGCATCTACAAATCTTTGGGGGTTTTTCCAACCCATTCTATGGGGAGGGTGGGCACTCGCAGCCCAAGTTCAATAACAGAGGAAAACAGAGTCCAGTGAGGTGAGACCTGCCTGGGGGACACAGTTGATGAGCAGGGAACCAGAACACCATTCGGAGGGCCCAGGGTGTGTCCTCTTCCTGGGACCCCCGACAACGATGCAGCCGTGCACAGACCTCAGTCAAAATTCTGAGTGAGTTTGCTCTGTACCAGGTGGGGTCCCTGATGTTTTCCCAACCCACGCTGAAATAACTCTCCCCTGCCACGCCTGCGATTGTCATCCTAGCTGCGTGAAGCTAATTCTGCGAGCAAGGAGGTGCTAGGCACCTTGGCACTGAGACCTCAAAACCATTTCTCAGAAGGAAGAGTACCCACAGTCCTCTTTTGAAATACTCTTATTTGCGTGCAGGAGTAAAATGTGGAAGCTACCAGGCTCCATCGGCAGGATGAGTGTTTTCAAAGGTTTTATTTCCAGGCATGGAGATAGATTTGCCATGACCCAGCTCCTCCCTCTCACACATTCTTTCATTTTGAAGCCAGAAGAACATAACAAGCAAACGGGGGTTAGGACTGTTTCTTACTGGCCTTGAGACTGAACAAGGTGCCCTGGCTTGTGTGAGAATCTTTGTTTTTGGTCTCACTGGCACCATCGAAACGAGCCATTCTAATTTTAAAAAAAAATTATTTCCTAAGCATTTTATGTAGATGACCAGGCAAGGGAGGGAGGAGATAGGGGGCAATTGTTTGGTTTTCATTATCATCAAGTACGTGGACCTTTGTGGTCCTTGGGCGAAGAACTGTGGACTGCAAGTCATTTGGCTGCTTTATGTTTATATAGTTTAAAAAATTTTTTTTTGCTTTAATGTTTTAAATAACTTGACCCAAAAAGCCTTTAACAATTATTTGTTGCTCTTTTTTTTTTTTCCTTGCTCCCCCACTGACGCATTAGCTAGGACTGCCCACTTTTGGGCCATGTGATGTTTCATTCATTCTGTTTAATTTCAGATATTGCCTTGGACGAGTCCTCGGAAGGTAACTGGGTCCAGCCCTCTGCCCTCAGGCAGTTACAAAGGCATTATCATCCTCATTTTGCAAGGAAGCGATTGGACACCAGAGAGGTTAAATGACTATTTGAGGCCCCATATAATGAACAGCAGAAGGACCTGGAGAACCCGGTTTCCGGGTGCTGGAGCAGTGGTCTTCCCACGCCGTCACTTCTCCCACATCAGCAAAAGCTAACTTGTACTGAGTGCCTACTCTGTGCCAGACACTTGCTCTGACCCCTTTACGTGGATTCATCGTTTATTCCTCACAATTCCACCGGTGCTGTCATTAGTCTTATTTCCCACCAGAGACAAGAGAGGCACAGAGAATTTAAGCAATTTGTCTCCACTCACACAGCCAGGTGGCAGAGCCAGAAGTCCAACCCAGGCAGTTTCACTCTCGAAGCCTAGCTCTTAAGTTCCATGTCCTGTGGCCTCCCGTGGACTCCGCAGTTCCCTTAAAACCCCCACACACTCCCCAGGGTGGTCCTGAGCACCATGGAGGAACTCCCTCCGTCCACCAGGAGGGGGCGCTCTGCACAGGTCTGCACACATCTCTTCCTGAATATACTGGGGATCCAATCACCAATTCATCTGTTCTGATCGTGGACACAAAGCAAGGGTTCCTGTAAGACGCCTGGTAGTCTTCCAAGACAAGAGATTTTAGGATCATCCTTCCCTATTTTGGCCTTCTCACACAGAATCTGACATGCTCTCAGGGTTGAATGCCTTAAATTATTATTAAAATATACCCAGTACTCCTTGTTTTTGCTCAGTAAGGTAATAATGTAAAGAGAGAGGGCCCTAGAAAGTGCACTCTTCATTTGGGTTTGTTGGGATTTTTCTTTTTTAATTTATGCCATCATTTGATCAGACTTGCAGTTAATCTGACCATTTCTTCATGATCTGCATGGATCAAATACAAGCAGGTGGTATCAAATCCAAGAAGGGTGACAAAGGGCCGTGTATTCAGGAGAACCATGGTAGTACCATCCTGTTTTCTAAGCACTATGAGTCATTGAGACTTGACTTTAGCATAACATCCCATTTGAAGGTTGTCCTTGTGGAACATGCGTCTTCAAATATCAGTTTCAGGGATCCTGGTACCTAGACTTGGGGCAGGTACTGTATAGGATGCTAATAAGTGCACTCATTTTAGCTCCATATGTACACTATATTTTTAAACATGCAAATAAGTGGGCTCCAGGATACATTTTGTTTCTCTAAAAGGTTAGCAAATAATGTTCCATTTATAGAAACATCTTTGAAATAATATTGCGATGTGACCTGGTGACAAATCAAAGAGATGGGGAATTTCTGTAACTCAGGGGTGAGCAAGCTATGGCCTGGGGGCTAAATCCAGCCCATTGGTTTATATACATCACGTGAGCCACCAATAGTTTTTCCACTTTTAAATGATTGAAAAGATCTAAAAAGGATGTTATCTTGTGACATGTGAAAATGATATGAAATTCGAATTTCTGTATTCACAAATAAAATTTTATTGCAACACAGCCACATCCACCTGCTTACGGATTGTCTGTGTCTGCTTTGACTCTACAAGAACGGAGTTGTGACCGAGGCTCTACCACCCACGATGTCAAAAATGCTATGTGGCTCTTTCCAGAAAAGTGTGCCAACCCCTGTTCTAATGAAAAAATTTCTCCACTCTGTTTTAAGATATCATATTTCAAATGCTTTCATCCTAGATATGGACTTAAGCTTCATTCTGGGAAGTAAAACAGTTGGCTTCTCATCAAAATATTTTTTTATTTTTTTGTAAATAGTATAGCAAAAGAAGTAAGGTATGGTTGCAGATGGAAGTGCTCTGACTGGCTCCAAGTCCCAACCGACGTCTCACCGACTAGCCACAGGCCACCATGCCACCCAGCAAAAGGACCCCATGCAATTAAACTGCCGTGCAGTAAGCACCTACAAGGGGCCAAGCCCTGTCCCCTGCATTGCAGACACATTGGAGAAAAGGAGAGATGGTCCTCCCATCCCCACGGAGTGACCTCTGCTGATTCCAGGGGCTCTCCTATCAGCTTGAGTGTTGACCCTCTGTTTTCTAATGATCTGAAAAGTGGAAGGACATCGTCCCCTCTGTCCCTTCTCCATAATTCCTGCTTCCTCCCCTCATAAACCCTCCCTGGAGAAGGAGAGTAATGCTTCTGACTCTTCTGATCCTGTGTGCTTGCCTCGTCTTGCCCCTGCTACGTAAACACATGATCCTTGGAGGTGGGCGAGGGCTGGCTTACTCATTAAAAAGACACCCACTGGGATCTGTGGATTTAAGACCTAAGATCACCAACTGGCCTTATGATTGCACTTGGGAGACAGTCACAAAAGAGGCATTGACCTGTCCTAACTCTCCAAGCTGCTATTTAAGGAGCTCTGACTCTGTCATGCACTAGGGTAAGTCGTATTATCTTCGACAATGTCCCTCAAGATCAACATGATGGTCATTATTTTATAGATGTGGGAATTAAAGATCAGAGAGGTTTTGAGTAATTTACCTGCAGCAGAGACCACTCATGCTCATTAAATATCCAGGTGCTTCCTTGTATTTCCCAGCCCCTCCCTCTCAGTTAGATCAGGGTCATGTGACTGAGTTCTGGCCAATAGGATGGGAGTGAAGTGATGTAACCACACAGAGCCTTGGGACCTAAAAACATTTTGTATCATCTCTCTCCTTCTTTCCCTGATGAAGGAGCCTTGGAGGAAATGTATTTCAAAAGCTACAAGATGGAAGAGGGCCACACTACCCACTCAGACTTGCCCGAGTGAGAAATAAATTCGTATTCTGTTAAAATACTGAGACTTTTGCGGCCAGTTTGTTACTACAGTGTAGCGCCACCTAGTGGTACAGATTAGAACCAAAACATTCTGACTCCAAAACCCAGACTGTCAGCTACCATGTCTTCCAGTCACTGATGCCAAGGCTGCTTCTCCACCTCCCAAATGGTTAGAAGAACCTTCATGCCTTCTACTATCGTGACATATCTATAGACATTTTTTTAAATAATGAGTTCAAAGTGGCTTCCAATTCTGGCAGAGTTCGGAACCCTGTTAACACTTGCTTAATAGCTGGCTGACTAAATGACATGCCATGTAATTAGACTTTCTCAGTTCACCTCCCCTCTCCCCCCGAAATTTTTCTAACTGTTTATTTTATTTTATTTTTAAATTAGAGGCTATTTTTTAATCAGAAATGCTCACCAACAAGCTCTGAGGAAAGCACTTTTAAAAACTCATGGAGTCACTGAACTTCTGCGGAAAGGCATCTTAGAGACCAGGTGGTTGCAGAGATGAGGACATGCGGAGGGTCTGAGGGGGAGAGAGGCTTGGCCAAGGTCACCCAGCAAGCGCTGGGTAGAAAGGTGACCAGGCTTTGGTTTCATGATTCTCAGTTCTGAATTCCATTAACTCTGGCCAGTCCACGAGGAAGAAAGGGAAAGGCCAGTGTGTGGATGAAAATTCTGATGCTTCCCTGTGGAGCATTAGCTGGGCCAGTCGGAGGAGAGGAAGTTAGTCTCATTTAGAAACTCCGTGAGACTTTCTGGATTCCTCGTTTTGACACCAAATGCTTTGTGCGACCAAAAGTGATCTTTAAAAAAAAAATTGTCGGAGCATTTGTATGTGTTTTTCCTTTTTCCTTTGAAAAACAAAGCTAAGGGGAAAAAGGCTCCCACAATTTCTTGGCTGTCTGGCAGCTTTTACAAACAGCGGCGTGATGAGAAACACATGCAGACCAGCGTCCGGTGAACAGTTATGGGGGTTTTGCTGCCCCCTAGAGAACCCGAAGGCCAGCCTGCACTCCTCTGGGGGCCAGGGGACACAGGCCACCCCACCGACCTCCCAGCTAGAGTCAGTGGGAAGCCAGCCGAGGCTGGTGGCTTGCTGTAGGCAGAACAGCAGGTGTCCCTTTGCGGGGCTGAGGCCCTGGCTTGCTGACCTTTCCTGGGAGGTAACTGTGGTACCTGCCCCAGTCTGACCCACACTGAAGCATCTAAGGGGCACTCCTGGGGGCTCCACAATGGCCACGGTCCACCACCAGGGCCCCACCTCGGCAGCCCTCTGGAGCTGTGCATTTTCACAGTTTTGAGGTTCCGCTACCTGGGCATGGCAGGTCCTAGGGTCACTGGCTCGGCAGGAGTGCACTTAATAAAACGTCCTGCACACAACTGCAGTCCAGAGGGAGATGGGCCAGACCAAGCAGAGCTCAGGACAGGCGAGGTGGGTGGAGAGGGCGAGAGGAGGCGGTGTCTCTGCTTAGCCCCATTTGGGTCATGGCAAGTTTCCAGAATCTGATGAAACAGGGATGAATCTGATGACGGCCCTCCTCCGGAAAAATCTACCTGTGCACGTGGATATACATATACAGTTCCGGGGTCTCATGGACTCCCTTGGTCCTGCTGTGGGTGTACATTGGAGAGCCTTGAGTTAAAGAAACAGCCCCCAAAGGGCACAGCTGGGTGGGGGTGGAGGGAGCCCGGCTAAGATGGGCGTGAAGGGTCAGCCTCTCACGGGGGAGGGAAGTGAGGCCAAGACCAGAGAAGGAGCTGGTTCAAAGCAGCACAGGGCATCGCTGGCAGAGCCCGGAGCGGACCCCAGGCCTCCATCCACTGGACTGGCTCCGCACTGTTTCAGTCCCCCATTCCCTGTGGCCTCGACGGAGGCAGGCACTCCTGAGGGAGCTATCACTTCTAGAAGGGAAGATGTTAACTTCACTGTGGACTTGCCCTTCGGGGTCTCCCAGGCAAAGTCGAAACTCTATTTAGTTCTTGAAAACAGCATTTATTTTCTGTTGTGGGATTTCAAACTTAGGGTCAGCAATGAGGTTGTGTATTAGCAGGTACCAACTCTTGGAGTTGGACTTGGTGGAGCAGCCTTGAGACTGGCAGCCCTTTGGGGGTGGGGAGGGGGCTCTGAGACTCTCTCTTCAGAAAGAGGGTCCTGTGCTCTGGATGGATAAGGCTCCTTTGGAAACCTGCCCCCCGAACACAAACGCTGGGCTTTTGCTGACCCGACACAGACCCCTCCCTGACACTAGCCCCGGAAACAAGCCGCTCCTTACTTTTCGGGGGTCAAAGTCTCCTCCAGGAACTCCTCGATCTTATTGACGTCCGTCTTCACATCCCCGTTGAAGGTCAGGAAGGGCGGATGGGTGCCGGGGGCGAGGTTGTGCAGGTCGGCTGGCTTTCTGTGGAGAGAGCAGGGTTCGGGGGTGGCTGACGCCGGGGCACTTTGCGGTCAGGCGGACCTGGGATGGGTGGCCCATTAGGCTCCCTGTGCTGCCCTACGAGCCTGTCAGTAAGAGCAGACCCGGTGCGGGGTGAGGGGCAGGGGAGGTGGGGAAGGTTCTGGGAGGATGTGCTGTGGCACAGGAAATCCATCCAGTGGAAGTCAGTGAGAAGAGCCACCAAGACGACAGAGCTGAGTGAGGCTGAAAAGGCAGAGGGCGATCACAGGTGACCACCTAAACCAGCGCCAAGCTTCCCTCCGAGATACCCAGGGCACCCAGGGCAGAGGTTGGGGCTTGCTTTCAAAGTTCCCTTCCCTTCACCAATTAGCTTAACCAAAACGCAGCAGGCAGCGCCCCCAATTTTAAATGTGAATGAATCCAGTCACACTCTTCCATTAAGACCTAGCTTCTGTGGTCGTGCAACAGGAAGGAAAGTGACCCTGTATTTGACGTGGGACCCTGTCCACGTCCAGGGGTGGGCTGATGTGCTGGTCAGCGGGTGAGAAGTCAGGGGCAAGGAAGGGGCAGAGGGAGGGAAGACGGGCGGGGGCGGGAGGGCACGGGGCAGGGGGAGGAGAGGGAGGAGGAGGAGTGATGGAGACTCCCGCGGCCGGCCGGGCTGGAACATCGGAGTCACCCTAAACGCTCTCTCTGAGAATGCAACACGCCTTGTGGGAGGCAGGCATGGAGAACATGGGATGGAGGAACAGTAGAAGAGTAAACAACGGGGAGGGGAAGAGGAGTCTGTAATGCAACAAATTCCTGGCATAATCGGCTTGGGAGGGGAAGAGAGGAATTTCAATGAAGATGCCCCTCCCGCGTCCTTGCCCAAACACACGCACTCTCCAGCTGTCTTCTGCAGCACTTGGAACTCCTCAGACCATCAACTCCGAAAGCATTTCTGAAATCTCATCTCCTTAGTCCCTGTGTTTACTGTGTGTGTCTCTCCTTTCAGGCAATGAGAGGACATTCTTCACCTTCTTCTGGTTTTCAGAGCTGACACGAGGCAGCAACACTTGGCTTCTCAGCGGGGAGGGAAAATCTATACTGATTTTGTTTTTCAGCAATTAGCTTTCTGTGGCTTAAAGATCCAGAAGTGATGATTTCTTTCTATGATTCGACGGAACCGTGGCCTCTGGAGTCTGGCATCCGTGGGAAGGATGCCTCTGGTCGCCGAAGCCCAGCTGGTGTGGCCGATGGAACTGGTCAGGGGTGGCCCTCTCTCTCTGTTGACCCTCATCAGCATTTACGACATTATACAACGAGAGCTTAATTCCATCTTGCCAGGTCTACCGTACAGATCACGTCATGCGTATCAGTCCCCTTTTCCTGGCTGCACGGTCCCAGGCTGCACGGCCAGCTCCGTCAGGGCACCAGGATGCTGAGAAGAGCTCTAGCGAGGCGCCTGCAAGTGCGGCCCCTGCCCGCCTCCCCGGGTCCCCACACTAACTCTATAAACACGGCACCACGTCCATCTCCACGCTCCAGATAAGGAAACCGGCTCAGCAAAGAGAAGTACCTTGTTTGAGGCCCCTCAGCCAGTCAACGGAGGCGCCAGGGTAAGAAATCAGTTTTCCTAGGAACTGCTAAACTTCACGGTCGTACATTTTTAAAAATTCCTTAAATATATATACATCTGTATATAATTTTTCTTTCAGGAAGAACGTCTCCTTATGCATAAAAGTGGAGTCGTGATGCTTGCCTGGTCTACCTGGAGGGGTGCTGGCAGGCTCGGCCGTGATGATGGACAGGAAAGGGCATCGTAAGCATCTGGGGGCTGCTGGGGTGGCTCCCTCTCCCAGCCTGATCTCCACCCAAACATGGGAGTGCACCTGCACCCACACTCCTCCAAAACCCGCCCTTCTCCACGGAAAAAGGCCAGTCTGTCCAACCGTGTGAAAGTCGGCTTGCTGTGCGGGTCACAGACAATGACTATGTGTTCATTCATTTGACAGAGATTAGCTGGGGCCCCCGAGTGAATGAACGAGCTGCTAGGGAGGAGACAGAGAAACTTAAAACCCGATCTCACCACACGCCCGTGAGGGATTCAAGGTCTCACCTGAACGACAAAATAAACTTCATCACTGATGTGTCTTGAAGGGCACGGCATTTGAACCGAGGAGACCAACCGGGGTTTTTTTTGCGGCAGCCTCTCCCTAGGTGGGCACCTTGGACAAGTCATTTAAATGTGTCCATCTCGGTTTCCTTGTATAGAACGAAGAAATAAGAGCTCCTTCACAGGGTGATATGCTCTGTGATCTTTTATGGGAAAGCGCTCACCAGTTGTAAAGCACTCGGCTTGTAGATCCCGTAACTTGACAAGATGCGAAGTGGTGAAGCCGGGCAGCGTGGACCATAGGGGCCGGGTGAGCGTGGAGGGCAGGTGGAGTGATGGATGCACCTGGGAGTGGTGGGGTGGGGAGGGAGGCTTCACTGGGGAGAGGGCTGGAGCTGCAGCTGGGGGCTGGGCATTCTCTCTCCATTTAGGAAAGACCAAGAGCCTCCCTGAAGCAGAAGCAGCCTCCCAGGGAACAGAAGGAGACCAGAGGCACCAGAACAGCAGAGAGAAGTCCAACTTGACAGAGGCGGGTGAGTCATGGTAAGAAGTGTCAGGACGTAATGTTGGGAAGAACCAAGCAAAAGACAAGGGGGGCTGCTGGTGCACTCTGCCCCGAGTGATGAGAAGTGTCAGAAGGTTTTCTGAGCAGGGGAAGTCACATGATTAAAGGATTATTTTAGGAAAAATACCCTTATGATAATATAAAGGATGGATCTGAGAGAGAGAGACAGACGGACTGATAGACAGACATAGAGAAAGAGAGAGGACCTGGAAGGCTGAACAGTAGTAACTCTCTACCCTGGCCTCGAATCCAGAGCTCTCACACTAAAGTTCTAAAGATGGGAACAGCCTGGATCCCGACTCCCTGGAAACTTGGACTCTCACACCTGAAGTCCCCCTGGGGTCGCCCAGGATGGGGGCACAAGTATGACCAGGACAGCCCACTCCTGGATCTTCGGGTGTCCATCCCAGACACTCTCAGCTGCAACATCCACTGCCCGTTGCCTCCTCTTCCCTTGCGAATCGGGACTTGCTCCACAGGACAGCGAAATGCTCTGTCCCAAGTGTGATCCTCGCTTTCGGAGCCCCCCTTGTAGCTGGGGGTCTGGCCAGCGAGGGGTGTGTGAGCGGGTGGCTGCTGGGAGCCACGGGAAGGTTGTCGCCCTCCCTCATGGAAGATCCTCTGTTCCTGCAGCAGCAAGTATCCCTCAAGAACGCAGCGCCCTTTACCTTTTCAGATCCACGGTGGTGACGTTGAACACAACTCCTTTCAGCCAGAGGATCATGAAGAGGCGCTGAGAGAAGGGGCAGTTGCCGATGCTCTCCCCATCGACGCCAGCCTAGAAAGAAGAGCAGCAGAGTCCCGGGTCGGCTTGGGCACGTCAGCAGGAAGGCATGCAGGGTTACTAACACCCGGGCCCCGATCCGACAAGAACAGACTAAATCCATGCCCCAGCCTTACCTGAAAGGGCAGTGGCCCTCTGTGATTTGTCGTTGTCCTCCTAATGTTCGTGCAGGGCGATGCCTGGCACGGGTAAGGGCTCAGTAAATAGGTGCTGAACTGAACGTGAACCTCCAACATGGTGATTATGGGGAATCTGAAACCATGGAACCCTAGCATCCCAAGGTGGAAAGAAACCTTTGACATCACATCATCTAACACAAATGACATCAGACCACCAACTTCTACACCCCCAAGGAATCGTCTAGTCTATGCTTAAATATCTCCACTCACCAGCAATTTAAAGCCCTCAAACAGTCCATTCTGAGGACAGTTCTAACCATGAGAAATGCTTTTCTTTGGCTATACCTTGCCAAAGTACGTTCCTCTGGAGTTTACCTTCTTCTACACTTTGCTCTTTGCTCCATGAGGATGTCATGAGTACAGATCCTCAGACTTTAATCCTACCTCTTTATATCTAGACCCGTCATCAGGCTCAAGATGTCAATTAATACCCCACTTCATTCTAACTACTACTTGACCTTCAGTGTCAATAAACTAGTCATTTGTAAAATTATCCTTTTACTCAACAAATATATATTGACCATCAATTCATTGTGTGCAAGGCACTGGAGGTAATTACACAGGGGACTGAAAAAAATGCATTCACTCAGGAGCTTGCAGTCTTCTGCAGGGGTGATAAGCAGGAACACAGGTGACCATGACAGACAGCATTACTGAGGGGCTGCATCCTGCTACCCCCACTGCCTTCCCCTTCTCAGCACCCTCCTCAAACAGCGGGTGTGTGTGTGTCTGAAAGGCAAGCCTCTCTTTACCTCGGAGTGGGCTAGAGACCTGCATTTTATAAAGAATACATTTTCAGCAAACACATGAACGAACAAAATGGTTGGAGAACTGATCTCTGTATAATTTACTCCCACTGAGTGGTATCCTGGCCCCGAAATGGGATTTGAAGGGAGAAACCACCCACTCGCTCTCGTTTGCTGTTGGCTCCCCGGGAAACCGAGGCCCCATCAGGACGGGCTCCACTGCCAGGGAGGGGACGGGAAGGGAAGACGCCCCCAGTCTTGCTCGCAAAGCTGCCAACAATGCAGCCAACATCCTGGAATGGGGGCTTACTAAGATTTCTCTCTTTCACTTTTTTCTCTTTTATTGAAAGAGAAGGAGAAAATACTACACTCCAAGCTGCACAAAGTGTTTTTCCCCTTGGGGTTTGTGTGCCGAGGGGTTCGGGTGGGGAGGCAGTGATGCCTTCTTTCTGTCATACACGAGCGCCTCATGGTGTGCTCATTTCTGCCTTGCCACGCGCTCCCCGCAGTGGCTCAGGTTTATAGTGGAGAACTGGCGCCTTTGGCGGCGTCGCTTGTGGGTGATTGCTATGAAATTACAGTTATTTTACCTCTCTCTTAACTACACGGAAAACGCCATCCCTGTTCAGTTCTCCCTTTTCCTCAGGGCTGGAAACAGACGCAGCCTGAGTGCCTGAGACACCACGGGCTCCGTTACGTAAAATCAGAAAGGTGGAGGGCACAGTGCGGCCACACCTGCCCACAGAGCTGAGGTTACGGATAAAGCCACACTCGGACAGGTGTCTATTAATTTAATAACAGCTTGGTGCTAACTTGAGTGGATGCTGTCAGTTCCCTAAGACTTTCTTTCCCAAGCAGCACTCACTTCACAGGCAGCTGGTTCTTGGTTCTTCAAGACATCCGGACAAAGGGACGTTTTCCCCAGGGCCGGTAGTGAGTGGGGTTGGGGGTGGGTCATAGGGAACTGAAGGAGGAATTCATAAAATATTGAAATTCTTACTAGTTGGACAAAATATTCATATAATAATAATGTTAATAAAAACCAATGAATGTCAGGCATTGTTCTAAGTGCTTCCCATAAGTGCGTTTATTCCTCATGCGAACCTGTATAGAGAGATAATGTTAACCTTTTACAGAGGTGGCCACTGGGGGGAAATTACAGTCAGGGGAATAACTGGCCTGAGGGTCCCGGGATGGACCCAGAGCCAGATGGAGAGCTTTTTTTTTTTTAACTTAGCAGAGGTAAAGGGGATTGAACCCAGGACCTCACGCATGCTATGCTAAGCATGTGCTCTACCACTGAGCTATTTCCCCTCCCCGCCAGATCGAGAGCTCTTAACTGCTTGGCTGGAGACCATGATCTAGACCCACCTCTGACTCTGATTCACCGTGTGACCTTGAGTAAGTCACCTCCCTCTCTTGGCTTCAAGCACTTATAACTTCCTGCCATTTTGTGGATTCAAGTGGCTAACGGAAATCTATTTAAGACAGCAGTTCTCAAACTCTTTGGTCCACACACACCTTGCGAGATTGCTGAGAGCTCCCAGAGAGCTTCTGTTGATGTGAATTAGAGCTATCAATATGTACTGTATTACAATTAGAGCTAAAACTATTCACACATTTACTTACATATTCATTAAAATATAATAATGATAAACATATTCCATGTTAACCTAAATAACGCATTTTAATATAAAGAAACCATATATTTAAAAAAATAATTTAGTAAGTAGAGTTGTTTTACTTTTTTACAAATCTTTGATATCTGACTTAATGAAAGTCAGCTCTGCATTTCCATCGTCTGCTATTTGTTTGCAGTATAGGAAGAAATCCTGGCCTTAGCCAGATACCTTGCTGGAAAAGGCAGGAGTAATTTAACAGCCTTTTCAGATTCTTGTGGGTATTTCTCTTCTATAGCATATCGAAACTCAGCAAGTGGTAGCTTCTTCAACATGAGCTGATGGGTGGAATCTGAAGCCCTATCAGTGAAGTCCTTCTGTTCCACTCAAACCCATTCATCTCGCTCGCACTTTGAATGGATCTTTTTACCCACGAATGATTTTGTAACATCACAAATTTGTCACTTGGAAAACAGTGTTTCACTGATGTTCCAAAGGGTGATACATTCCTTATTTACTTTTTAAAAAATGTTTAAGTTTCTTTTTATTGAAGTTTAGTGGATTTACAATGTATTAGTTTCTGGTGTCCGGCAAAGTGATTCAATTATACACACACACACACGTATATTTATAAATATATATATATATATACACATTCTTTTTCATATTCTTTGGAACTTGACTGCTTCTCTTTGCTTGAACTTTTCTGATGAGCTTGATGGTGATATTACTGCACGTGATACGTACTCAAGGGCTGAGATTTAATTACATTAGACCATTTTGCTGCTTCATCAAGATCATTCATAAATGAGACTGGCTCCTTTTTTTTCTCTCTGGGCATGACTCCTCCATTCTACCACTGCCTCAATTTGTGCTCAAGCACCAGCAGATTCTGCCCACAGAACAGCAATCCCAGGGAGAAGTGATGACCTCCCAGAGCTCCCAGCAGGGTATCAGGAACCCACGAACATTTGAGAACTGTTGGTATAAGATATCCTGTGAACAAACCCAGTACCTAAAGCTTCTCCTCCAGACAATAATGTGAAGCTGATAACTGCCCCCAAAGTCATTCCCGGGCACCAAGGTCCAGAAGAGGGAAGAAATCAGCCTGTCTCAGCCCCAGCCCATCTGGCCCCTGGCAGCCTCATGCTAGCGATAACCTTTCTGCAGCCCTCTGGACACAGAAGTCAAAGCCCCCACGTAGCTTGCATACAGCCTGCCCTTGGCCAGAGTGCCCACACAGATCTGCCACTTACTTTGCAAGCCCTTTGTGGCCAAGGCCTCCTGTCGCACTGGCCCTGGATCCTCCTGTACCCCTACACCCCCACTGCTGATCATCTGGCCCCCTCCTGACCTCTGGAGGGTGGCCTACTGCCTGCCTGTCATCTCCAAACCAGCTCTGGCCTCGCCAGACCAGTGAACTTCTGTGCTTCCTGCTGGGCTGACCACACCTTCTCCAAGTCTGTCATCCTTGGTTATTCCTCTTCAGGTCTAGAGTACCCCAAAGACTATCCTCATATGTAATAGTTACTCCTTTATCATAGTTAATACTTCTTTACATTAAACTTCTCCTGCAAAAACCACTGTGTGGTTTCTCTCTCCTGATAGCACCCAGACTGACAGATGCTCAAATGTCTGGCATTTCAAAATAGATTTTTAGGCTATTTCTCTGGTTCCCATAAAAATCTCACAAGGTTAAGGCCTAAGTGAGGTAGTGGAAGAAGGAAACCTGAATTTTCTCCAGAAAGCTAATTAAGTCACCATTTATACCACGTTTCAACTTTTCACTGCTTCGGCCCCTGAAAACTGTCCCTGCGGACTTAAGTGATTAAACATTTTTTTCAAGTTACAGATAAAGAATTCTGCAACCGTGGGGCTGCAGCTGACCTCAGGGATGCTGCAATCCAGCTCTTTCCTTTTACTAGTGAGGAAGCAGGTCCAGAAAGGTTAGATATCTTGCCCATGGTTTCACAGGTCCCACGGCAGAATCAGGGATGTAGCTCCTGGGTCCTGAGCCCCAGCCTTCCCCTGTGCTAGGCTGGCTGTCATCTTACAGGAAAGAGTGTCAAAGAGACAGAGACCACAGGAAGAGGACTTTCTTTGGCTTTACGATGACTCATCTCTATCGCACTAAACTGATTCCTATCAACGTGGAAGAGGAAGGATTTTCCTTTATCATAACAATATCTGGATCTGCCCACTTTCTCTCATGTGTATAAGCCAGATAGTGTTCCTTATTATGACAGTTCTTTTAAAATATCAAAGGACAATTCCCCTAATTTGGTTGGTCAGCCTCCCATGAACAGAGAATGGACTTGGGGTTTGTGGTCCACTTGACGATGGGGAGTTCCACCCTTGAAGAAACAACATGCTTGTTCTCAGCGGCCACAAAAAAAAAAACAGTTGCACTCTCTGGGGTCACTCAGGCACTTTCCGTTCAATAAATAGTC